CTGTGGGCTCAAGTGGATTACTAAAAACTTCTTTAAAGTTTATATATATATATATATATATATATATATATATACACACACACACACACATATATATAATCAGAATTTTATGTTAATAAATAATACTTTTTGCTACAAAAATTTTTCAAAATCTTCAAATTCGTTCACTTGACAAATATTGCCAAATATTTATTGGGTACTTACTCTGAAACATGCACAGTTCTAAAAGCTGGATATACTTCATTGAACAATTACTTACCCTCATGGAACTTACATTCAATTGGATAAGAGACAGACTGTAAAAATAAATAAACAAATAAATATATATACAGGGGTGGGCAAAAATAGATTAAATTACCAACCATCATTGCCTAAGAGATAAATCATGAGTAAGGATATGAAATAATAACAGCAACAATAAGACAAATCATACAAATAAATATTACAATATTTAATAAATAATAATACAAGAGTAAACCGTGCTTTGCATACTCACGACTCTAAACCCACTTTTACGCACTGCTGTATAATATAGAATGCTAGTACGTGATGCTGTGAGGTGATGAAAAATAAAAGAGAAAGGGAAAGGTCGTGCTGGAGAAGAGAAAGTGGGAACTTCTGACCAGGTTCCATCTCATTGAGAAGGCAGTCTTAGAGCAAATGCTTGAACTAGTTAACCATTCGGGTAGATATCGGAGGGAAGAGCATTTCAGGCAGAAGGAACAGTCGAAGCAAATGCTGAGGCAAGTATATGTCTGCCATAGTCGCGGACTGTGGACCAACCGGCGCGGTCGCATTAGGCCGAGCGGGAAGACGAGCTCAGAGAGCAGAAGGCACTGAGCAGTGAGCGCAGAGCTTCGAGGCGCAGACCCTGCGCGGCTTTGAAGGCCGTGGTCACGGAGATGGAGGTGAGTCTAACCGAGATGGCGAAGACTTTCAGTCCGCCTGGGTTTTTATGTGTAGGCAGAGCATGGGAGTAAACAGAGGAAACCTCTTTCTACCCATGACTATAAATAAGACTAATGAGATGGCCCTGTGGGAGTTTCACTGGGAAATCAAAACATAACAAATCAAAGCGCATATAGAGAATGCCCCCAGAGGACATGTCACGGCTGCGGGAGGTGGGGGTGCTGGGTTGTCTTATCTGTCCTCTAATTATTCCATCGGTGAGGGACAGATCTTAACTTTAAGGTTATGGGTGCGGCTGAACACACACCTGTCATTGGACAGGCGAGACTGACGACGCTTTCTGCCACGTGTACTCACAGCCCAGGGCTGGGGAATGCCCGTGCCATGCCCGGCACGAGGGTTACGCTTGGGAGCAGGGTGAACCACCAGGGGCTTCGGGAGGCCAGCTTCGTAGTACCAAGGGGGTGAGATGCCCCTGGTCCCCATGGGCGTGTGTAATGGGCCTGAGTAACTGCAGGTTGGCAGGAAACCGAAGCTCACTACTCAGAGATAAGCAGGGCCTGTGCCTGGTCCCCGTGATAAGAAGGGTGTGTGACCAAGGGACCTTATCCATGGGAGCAGAGCAGGGAGAGAAACTCGTGGTTAGGCCAGTGCAGGCCCTCTCGGTTTCCAATAGATGTGAAGGCTCACGTAACACTGGGTCTTCATTTTAGTTCTTATGCCAGAAAGAGAATGGGGGAGAGTGTACGTCAGCAGTGGAGCACAGAAAAATTAGGAGTTACAATTATAAACCTAGAAAATGTCAATGCTCATTCTACCTGGAAGACAGAGTGCCCTGCTAGCCCCGGTCTGCTAGTTAAGCACATCAGATTATGCAAATGAGGCAGCTTTTGACTAGACCCAACACATCTCTGCTGATTCCCTACTGCTTTTAATTTAGATGTTGTAAAATGAGAGGACCGGCCACTTCATGTTGCAAAGAACCTAATGGAACGTAGTATATCTTAAGCACATACCTAGTAATTCAGGGCCAAAGGGAGCTATTGGCTGATTGTAAAATTAACATCTAAGCAAGAGGGTAGAATCTTATGTCAATATAGTACCCGATGATAACAAAATCTCTTAGCTTTCTTATGTAAAACTGTATTTACCAAGCTTTCCTTCCTTTGTGTCACACTATTTACTTACCACAGGTGGGAAGGTGTTAAGTTAGAATAGGAAACCCTAAGTCTTTACATTGCTTTTGGCTTTAAAAGAGTAACAGCTCTTTTTCTACTTTTCTTCTACGACTCAGCTGCTCCCCTTGTTCTTTTAAGAGGAATCCTCTTTCAATCATTAATTCAGTGGGCAAATGTATATTAGTAGCTACTATTTCTAAGCACTAATTTGGGGTTTTGGGGGTGCAATGATGACTAATACATGTCTTAAAAAATAGCTCAGTTTAAGGAAAGAAAGGCCACTTAATAATTTTGGAAAATATTTCTATTTTTGTTTATTTTACATAATTTAAAAATTATACAAGTAATGCTAAACACTATTTAAAAAATTTTAAAAAGGGGTACAAACACATCTTCCCAGCACAACCAAAAAAAGTGTCTCTAAATATTTTGGGATTTTTTCTGTTTTTGTATTATACTCCAAATAGCTTTTTGAAGTTTTTATTTCATTTTGATCGTTTTATATATAACTTGATCACTTTATTTTTTTCCTGATACTATGATGTAAAGCTTTTCCATAATATAAAAATTTATTGCGCAGGTAATTTTAAATGTTGGCTTAATATTTCACTGAGTAGGTATGTGGTAGACTGCATACCTGTCTTCTTATTTTTGGATATTTATTGTTAGTTTTATCTTTTATACACAATGTAATTGACATATTGATGCATAAAAGTCATTTATGTTTCAGATAATCTTCTTAGAATGATTCTCAGTGGTTGAATTATTTATTTAAATATGAAAAATGTTTAAAGTTTTTGAATTTGACAATGGTAAGTCTTCTTCATCTTAGAGGGTACTTTCAAACTCTAAGCTCGTACTTTTGTTTGTTCTGTTACCCTAAGTCGTGGTAGAGATGTGATCAGATAAGTTTTCAATATGTATACAATAGTGTATGGAGCAGAGAGACGGGATGTGTTCACCCATGTTGAAACCAGAGTTTCTTAAACCCCAGGACACATACTTTTTAGCATCACTGGAAACATTTAGTCTGTGCCGACTCTGTGCAGTACCTGGCTGCAAAGAAGGCAGTGTCTCAGTTCTCCATGACTCTGTAGCTGTCTTTGGATTGAAGGAGTGGTACCTCTCTGTCCATTCCAGGTGCAATTGTAAGAGCATGGCAATTTAGAGATATTTAACTAAGTAAAGACATATATTGAAGACCCTGCACCCAATGGTCCCAAGATTAGTCACAGATGATCAGAGAAGATCTATTGTCTTTGATTTCAATAATACTTCTTTCTTAGAGTTGTGGTAAAGATTGACATGTGGTAATATAAAGTAACTGGCATATTCGAATCACCCAGTAACTACTGTTTCTTTCTTTTCCACTTGAGAAGATCTTGCATCCCCTTGGCCTGAGTGGGACCTAGCAGAAGGTGACCGAATCATCCTTTCCTCCCATTTCAGCACTAACACCATTTCCTCTTCTTTCTACATGACATTCTTTGAAATAATAAAAATGGAAAAGAGAAAGAATAGTAACAATTCTGGGCTGAAAAGAGATTTTTTTGTGTGAAGTTCTTTTGAGGAGAGAGAGAATCTTCCATGTGTGTGGATGAATCCCTCTTCTGCCCTTAGCAATTAGAGTGCTTGGAAGCAGAGCTGTTACGGTCCTGGAGTGTGAACAGAGTTACAAGAATCACTGCTTCAAGAATAACCCACCTTACACAGAGTTCAAGACATCATCTCTCATTCATATAATTCAATGGTTCTAAGTAATTATTTTTGAAGACATTTTGAAGCCTTTAAATGAAATAAATATCCGGAGAGCACAGCAGGACTATTATATTAATCAGCTCCAATCTATGGGTCTTAGGAAATGACACACAATTGAGTTTTAGGTCCATCTGCTCCTAGGAGGGAAGGGCCATCTACCATTAAAAAAAAGGTGTTTTGAACTGTGACTATCTCTCCTTCCTATTTATCTGTGTCTGTTTTCCCAGTAGATTTTTTTGTGTGAGGTATGCACCCAGAAGAAAAACAGGAGAGGGTGTCATACTGTGCTACAGATTCTCACCTCCAAGAAATGCCTCCCAAATCAGCAATGAAAAGGCAATACCAACCAAAAGACGAGAGCCTCCGCGCTACAGTAAATTTTATTGTCCGCCTCCTCCTAGGTGCTGTAGGAGCCTTTCACTGTCACTCTCTCCCCAGCCAGCATCCCTGAAGGATTTTTCTCTTTCTGACAACCAGTGAACTGTGCTCCCTGAAGGGTGGAGCTAGGACCTGGGCGACCCCTGCTGGCGGATGCTAGCATACAACGATCTTGCAAAAGCTGCACGTCGCTGGAGTCCCTGGGACAACTTTCTTGAGAACTGAGACCTACATCAAAAACAGTTTTTGTAAGAATTAACGACAAAGTATACCATGCACTTCAAACGGTACCAGGCATGTATTAAAGGGAAGGGACTTTCCCAGTATCTCAGAAATTACAATACCTAGGAATTACACAATTTGGAACTCGGGTTCAAAGCAGAAATGCCCCTTCCTGCATCCAGATCATAATAAATACACACATTTCTCAAGATCCATCGAAGCTGTTGTCGCATGCAGGCTTGTTGGGCTGGGGTAATATATTGGAAATGCACTGCCTTTGAGTGGGGTGTTGGGGCGAGTGAAGGATAAACCACAGCTTATGGTGAAGCCAACTGGGAGCCCGGAGGCAGCCAGGACTTCCTCCTGCTTGTGCCATCGCCGCGGGACCGCAGCTTCAAGGTTGCGCAATGCCTTCGGTAAACACTTCCTGAGGCAGGGACAGCCCTGAGCCTGGCAGTTTCAGTCGTCTCACTCGAGAGGTGACAGCGAAAGACGGAGCAGGACGCTGCTGTCTGCGGGAGGAGGGCAGACACCACGCTCCCGGGGTCGCCCAGGATGTCGCAAGGCCTGCTTCTCGTGGCCACTTCTATTCTTTCTTCAGTCCCAGGTAGGTATTTCCTTCTTTTTAGGTTCCACTAAACACATCGGTGAGCAGCTTGCTTTTCATCTTCTCCAAATGTATTTGTTTAACGAATTTTACTAATAGTTGGGCAGATTTTAATCTGTTGCTGGGGAGGGGGGGGAGGACAGAAACTCACAATGTAAATGAGAGGCAAGGAGATGTTAATCAATAGTTACAGATCTGATCTAAGAATATGGAAATCAAATGGAAGATTTCATTCTGCATAATTTAAATAAGGAATCTGATCTTTGAGTTGAAAAGTGAAATTCGTGGGAACCCGCCTTGGCGTTTTTGGAGCAGTGAAGATGAGTGGATCCGACTGGGTATTGCTGTGCACGAGGCTTTGGAAAGTGTTTGCTACTTTTATGGGGACCCTTTGGCTCGTCCTGCTCCTTCTGAGCTCACATTTTTTTATATTTTGTTCTTTCATTTCTGGTGATAATATATATGACTAACTAGAAATAAATACGTGACCGATTTCATTTTATAATATAAGGCATTGTGATATTACTTGATCAAAACAATGTTGCTGCTAAGCCTGACTTGATCACTTACTTCCATTTTGCTGGTTATAACAAGCATTTAAGAAATTAAGAGTAGAGAAAGCCTACTTCCTAATAATATGTAATATCTAGTATCTCTCTCCTTCTTTGATAAATTCTTCAATTAGATGTTGGTTAAATTAGATTGGTCAACACATTTCCTCAGCTTATGTCTATTTCTCGAGCTTAAGGAGGCACATTAGCTTTAGTGCCTGAGAACCCTTCCTTGGCCAACCTTTTCTTGGGCTTAGCACGCTTGCTGGGACCTAGGAATGGGAACAAATCACAACAAGAAGTGGGGGTTGGGAAGAAAAGACTCTCTTTCCCCTTGCTTTGTCACTAAAAGTGATTGTTTCCTTTCCCCCTGGTTTCTGATTTGTTTCCCAAACTTGTGAAAGTGTTACTTAATCTCTTTAAACATAGAACTGTGCGAGGCATTTATGTTTTTGACTGAAAATTTCTACTTTCTGAGTCCCACGTAATAAAAGTCTTCTTTCCCTATAATCTCCAAAAACGCTATGACTAAAAGCTCTTTGGAAGCCTTTGCTTGGTTGAAACATAAGCATTGCTTAGGCGCTACTTTATCCGACAGCATGAAGGCCACGCTGGACCCATAACAGAATCGCATAACTAACCCTGTAGTTTATTTATCTACGTGATAGCCTTTTCAGTGAAATTGGGTGTAAAAACGGATTCTGTCCCCCCTCCCCGGGTTTGCATTCACTAACAGGCCCCCAGAGATGCAGCTTCCTTAGAAGTAAAGCCTAAAACGGTCACATCTCTGAGTACTTGGTGGCGGAGGCAGAGGTTCTGAAGTGGCTCTTGTGAGAATGAGGGGACAGACAGAAAAGCTGCCCCCTCTTTTTCCCCACCATCTTGTTATTTTCAAGACTGTTTCCTTGGTCAGTGAAATACCCCGATAGTGTTTCCAATAGATTTGTTTCCCAGCCAGAACGTAAGAAGTAAAGCAATTTTCCATTTCCCCAGCTCTCCTTTTTGTTGTTGTTTTGCTTCATGGTTCCCATCATCCAAAGAATAAATATGTGTTTCTCAGACCATTAATGTCGCCTAGCTCTTGTATACGTGAAATAAAAGAATGGGGTAAAATCAGGCCAACTGTTTGTGATGAGCTTAGCAATCCCCTGAGAAAAAGAACATATAAGATTTCATCAGAGGAAAGAAAAAAACATTTTTAAGGATGTGGCAGGTGTTTGGGGTCCAAAACAAAGTGCACTCACAGAGGAATGAAGTCGTTGCTATGTTCCAGCAGAATATTTAGGGGCTGCAGTACTTCTGAAATGATTTTATTTCAAACTAGTAATTCTTTCTTACCTTCATAAGGTGACTAGAAGACCCTAAAGAGCACGCATAATTTCATCTTAATAGCCAAATGATAGACTTAATAAGGATGTGTTTTTTTCTTCCTCCCGTGTTTGTACTCACTTTTCCAACACGAAGCTTGAAATCACCAGATGGTTTGTAGGGGCTCAGTGAATCCCTGAGCTTAAGTCGATGGCATTGCATAAACCTTGGTCAGGACTTCATGTCATGTATCAAGCTTCGGAAGGCATTGCTCTGAACAGTTTTGCATGTACATGAAAATGTCAATTTTATGTACAAACGTGCTAAAAATCCAGAGTGGCCCCAAACACATTTAAAAATAAAGTAGGATCCAGACCAATGTCTGTCATGTTAATCTGCTCAACAACTTTTAAATTTTAACATAAAAATAATGATCTAACCCAAACCAAACTAACAGATTTCTTTTTCTTGATCTAGTTTTGGTAGTTTTGACTAATCCATTGCATGAGTTCTGTGGGAGAGAGAAAGAAGTATTACAGTGAATTAGTAGGAACGTATTGTGTTACAGCTCGAATTTGTGTAATCCCTGGATGGCAGTCAGTTGTGTTTGTTCCCCAGGCTTCAAAATAATTAGCCCTTGTAATTCAGCTGTGAAGAGGCTGAACCATTTCTGTCACCTTACGGATGAACGAGCCAAACATCATTAAGGTCTGCAGCATCTCTCTAGCGGCTGTGTAATTTATTACATCTCAAATCCCACTCGTTCAGGGGCCTCTTGGTTTCAGAAAAATAAGGGCCATTCAGGGAAATTCTACCTGTTTTCTTTAGAGACGGTACTATGTTGCAAGGGTTTAGGAAGAGCTAGAAATCGTTCGTTTCCAACTGAAGAACGTGAGAGGTTGCCAAAGACTTAAAAAGAATATTCTGGTTTATTTTATTTGTTGATTTATTTTGCTTGCCATTTGGAAGTGGTCCGCCATCAAACAAAGTGGAAAATAAATCTCCCCACTAGTTTAGATATTTCAACTCCATAGTTGAGTCGGTTGGTAGTTTCAGATTTCAGAAAACATTAGAATTTAGATACTAACTAGAAGATGGAGATCAGTGTGTATATCAAAGAAAACTTGTGCTGGTCATTTTGGCCTGTTCTTTACTCACCACCTCTGAATGGGGAATGTGTATGTGTCATTACTTTATGCTATTATTGAAAGAATCATTTGGGTAGGTATTATTTTATGGCCTGAGGGCAGCCTGGAGAGTATTTCCTGTCAGAATGATGTGTATTGTGGATAAAAACAATTTTTCATAGGGCATTTTTAAAAGAGTTACTCTGTTTGCAACATTGGTGAATATATGGCTTCATGGGCTCCTTATTAATGGGACTAACTGCACTGATTGGACACAATCCACCAGGCAGCAGGTATGCCTTATGGTTTGCTCGTTTGGTATCACAGAGTTCCAGGAGGCTGTGGTGAATTGTGTTGATACCATTAGTAAATTTCGGGCATGAGTAATTTTCTTACCTCTTGACATCATATTACTTTGAAATAATTGTAGTAATTACAAAAATTTTCACTTAATGGAAAGACAGCGATCGATTAAATAGTTCTTTAGGCTTTTGGACCTCTGTTTTGAAAACTGTTTATAACTATTGTTATAATTTTCTTTTACCCAAAATTATTAAATAGAAATAAAAGATGGCCAGTGAGTATCTGTGTAACAGCAAGAAGTAAGTAACTGAGGGGACTGGTGATGAGGTTCTGGAAGTGTGACTAGGTGAGACTTATTTTATCAGCTGGTTAGAACTTTATCCAAATGAGCATTGCCTCTTTGAAGAGGTTACAAGGGATTCTGTATTTACTTGCATAAAATTGTAGACCACTTGAACTGGCCGGAGTTCATTTATCCTGCCCTCTCTTTTTAAATAATTAAAAAAACAAAAAACAACTAAACCCAAAGTTTAGTTTTCTGGTATTCGAGTGTTGATGCCATGGCTTTTGAAATATTTTTAAGAGTAAATCTGTAGCCACTTAATAAAAAACTGTTTTATCATTTTAGCACCCAATTTTTAACCCACTGAGTTTTCAGACAATTTTCTCACTTTATCTATCTTTCAAAGTTAGATGTAAATGGCTCCTGAGTGACCAAAAGAAATATAGCCATCTTAAAATAATAAAAGAGAATTGACATCACCAAGAATTTTGAAAATTTCTGCTTTAGTTTCTAAATATTAATCTTTAGAAATGTTTTAAAAATAAATCTTTATTCTTGGGAGCATATTGGGATAAGTGTACAGTCATCCAAGGTGACTAACAACAATCCTCAGTTCTATTTGTTAAAATGTCGACCCCAGTAACATAAATTTGCATTACCATAGAACGTAGGTTTGCGTCCTGTGATGAGCTAGGGTTGCCTTAGGGAGCCCTCTATCTACACGGAGAGCTACAGCCTTTTTAGTCACAGTGTCAGTCAGGCGCTGGGCTGGGCCCTGGTTCCTGCTGCATCTGCATCTGCATCTGAGTGGACCTGCAGCCTCCTCAGCAGCCGGAGAGCAGGTCTGTGGACATTTCCTCAGGTTCCGCTCTGCACAGGACAGGAACTGGACCATGTGGGCGAATAGAAAAAGAAAAGAAAATAGAAATTCCAGTGTTAGGTTTGGGAAAACTGAATTTCTCTCAAAAATAACTTCCAGATACAATGTTGAGATGAGAATTCAAGATGCTGATAGGCGGTTGGATGAGATAACTTTTCAATTCTCTTTTACTGTAACAGCAGGTTCAGAAATTTCCTTCCAGGCCAGTAGTTGTGTTTTAATTGTCTGTCTCTAACTTTTTAAATACTTTTTTCATGTGTTGTATGCAAAAATGAAGGTGTGTCTGTACTGCAAAAACCCAGCCCTTTTTTATGGAGCTGGTACAGGAACCTTCTCTCCCTGACTTGGTTTCTCTCATTGGTGTAAAACACTGCTACTGGGAAACCCAAAGAAAATGTGTCAGAATCCGAAATGGCACCCATTAGTTATTTCCTTTTTCTAACACTGTGTAGTTTTGAGAGTGCTTCAACTCTACCACCCGGACACCGATTTAGCTTCTTAGAGGGTTCACTAGGCTCCCTGCCATCCTCGGCTGGCTGCGGTCTACACTGCATGGCTCCTTCCCCTGCAGGGGGCCCAAGACAGCAAAGAGAAGTGGGAAAATTCAAAAGAAATATTCTCAGTGGGGAAATACTTGCAGGTGTGGGTTAAAGTAAAAGTTTGAAAGGAAGAGTGGGTCTTTGATTTTGTGGATCTCCTCTGTTGTCTGCATTTTAATAAGTCTCTGGCGTAGCTCAAAGTCTCTGTGGGTGGCACCATTCGCAGGAACTGCATTAAAGGTGACCATTTCTGACCAGCCTGTTAGTTCTGCTTAGCTAAGTCTTCTCTTACTTTTCTTTCAGTAAATGCAATCAAAGAACACCCTGGAGTAAAGTATGAAGTGGTTTATCCCAGAAGACTTCATCCACTATACAAACGAGAGGCCAAGAGGCCAGATGAAGAGGTACAGCTTTTGATTTAACAAAGACAAAAAGTCTTGAATTTATATATATATACACACACAGAATACACATACATATAATATATAAACACACGATATACATATAAATACATATATTTAATGTATAAATACATATACACATATATACACACATTTGTATTCGTTTTTTGACCTATGTTATATTTAGTAATCTTTAAAATAATGCAACATTCTGCCTTATTTTGCAGATTAAGTTTCTGACAATTAAAATAAACTATCCAAGGTCACACGGAGAGTAAAATTTAACACTCTTATGGTAATATATAATTTATTCTCTGTACTCCCAAAGAAATTTGATACAATTTATCTATCTTCCTGTATACACATATATAAACAAAACCATGAACATTAAAACTGATGTAGAAAATAAAGTATTGTGGATGAATGCATGCATATATGCATATTAAATTAAGATTAATTACTGTAATTAAACATGGCATTTACCTCTGTCTTTTCTAAAAAGGCAGCTATTAAAGTTTGTATAATTCTTACTAATTAATGAAATGACACATTCTCAGTCAAAAGAAGAAAGCTAAAACATAATAATTCATTCAACGATGACTTTCTAATTACCTACACCTGGAACTCTTTTTTAGGGAGCCAGGAAAATCCAAATAAATGAGACATAAATAATAACTTGCGCCATCCATTGTAAGATGCAACTCACTGGGAGCTCATATTTTCCAACTGGGTAATTCCAGATACCTTTCTTCATTGAATATCTGGAGAAAAATTTGAATACGTGGCCAATGTTTTTCATCACAGTTATATACAGTGAGTTCTTCATAACTGTGAAAATAAATTAAAGCTTTCAAGCAATTTATTTTGATGAAAAACCATAAAGCAGCTATTGGCACATACTAGATGCCCAATCATTTTGTGAAATGATTGAATAGACGGATGCAGTTGATTGCAATGTGCTTGATATTTATGGCAAATGCATATTTATCTAGTCAACCGTTCCGTTAACTGCCTGTATGAACCTTATGTTTTCCTGATTCATAGTGAAGGTGTAAAGGATCTGAATTCACAGGGCGTGTTTGTGTTCATGTCTTAGCTTTGTTAATTCTCCCTGTGTCAATTTAGGCACATAGGAACTTCAAATTCTTTGTGTGAAAATTGACGTAGTAATAGTAATGCTTACCGTATGTGGCTATTTTGAGGTAATTACACAACAAGCAAAGCAGGATGCAGAAATTAACTCCCTGTCCAAGTTTATGCTATGATGTTATCCTATGTAAGAAATCAATCACATTTTACTTCTTAGGACCAACTTTGAAGGCATTTTATACTTACTGCTATGGTTTAGTAAGCTATTTTGTTATCTTTTCAGCTTCTTAACTTCCTTTTCAGTCACGCTGGAGATTCTTAAGGCCTTTCTCAATCATATGCTGCATATCCACATACCCTTTCTTATGGAGTTCCTCTTGCTCAAAAGGGTCTTCCTATAGGTAAAGCCCAGTCCACTTTGTATTCTTTCAATTAATTTTTTTAGTGAATTTTTTTTAACCTCACCTGAGGACATGCTTAGAGAGAGGAAGAGAGAGAGAGAGAGAGACATCGACTGGTTGTCCTCCGCATGCTCCCCGATGGGGAATTGAACCAGCAACCTTTCAGTGCATGAGACTGTGCTCAACCAACTGAGCCACTCCGGCCGGGCCGTCTCCCATTCTTTGTGATAGACCGATCCCTTTCCTGAAGTCATGCTTTAGTCATGGTCAGTGGTATACCATTTGGCTCTTGAGTTTTGTTTTTTTATAATATTTATTTTATTTTAGTGGCAGTGTGTGTACGTGTGTGTATTCCTATGAGAGTGTGTGTAATTTTCTCTTCTAGTTTGAAACTGTCGGGGTCAATAAGTAAAGTGTTTTCTATGTCTTTGGTGTGGCTCTGCCCTCCTTCACCCTCTCTCTCAGTCCTTGGCCTATAGATTTAGCAAATAAAAATATAGGATACCCACTTAAATGTGAATGTCAGATAAATGATTAATGCTTTTTTACTATAATTATTCTCAAATATTACATGGGACATGCTGATATTGAAAAATTATTCACTGTTTATCTGACATTCTAATTTAACTGGTGTCCTATATTTTATCTGGCAATCATACCATGGGGCTTTTGTCATCTCCCTATGAACATCTAGAACTACACCAGAGAAACATCTTTGAATCCAAGGCCTTGTCCCAATAATATGCTTGCACATCTCTATGTTTTTCCTATAAATATAAGACCCCACGGTGCTGCGTGTCTGTTTCAATCCTGCCCTGTCAGAGTCGCTGTTATCTGCCATATCACACTTGTCTACCAAACATAAGTCTAGAGAAGCTAGTGACATCCCTGTCTGCCACACAGCAGGTACATTCTTTTCCCTGACACAGAATATTCTCTTTTTGCTCAGGTACAGATTATGACCAATAAAAATACTGTCATCAATATAAGCCACGGTCTTGGAGGGTATTCTTGTGGTTTGTGCATTGAGACTATTGGTCATACTTGTGCAAAGAACTGAATAGTAATTACCTGAAAGATCCAGAATTCATAATGTATGTAACCACGGGGATCTCTGCATCCCTTAGATGCCCCCTAGGTCTCAGTCTAGATTAGTCTCGTCTCAAGGCCTCCTGAAGAGGGGGACTCTTGTACTTACCATTATAAAGCTGTGCCCTCTACTGGGCCAGAGGCTCAGGCACCGGTGTTACCTATCAGCGATGCCAGAAGCATGGCTCCATTTTTCTAAGTCCATGATGACTAGCCATGTGACTTACAACTTGAGTTGCTAAAAATGCCCATATTCTGACCTCTACTTGGCCTTAAGCTCTCACAATAAAAATAATCAGTGAGAGCCTTTGAGGTCTTTTGGTCAGTGTGCATACTGTTCCTTCTTCTCAAATAACTTTCCCACCCCGCTTCACCCGGCTAATTCATGTCTCAGCTTGTGCATCACCTCCTCAGGAAAGCCTTTCCTCCCCTTCAGATGTTAGACACCCTACATTGCTTCTATATTTATTTCATTTATCACACAACATAACTCACATTTATTGTTTGTCTTTCTACATTATAAGCTTTATGACAGCAGGTACCAATTTTTGTTGCTTTGAGTTGAATTTCCAGAACCGAGCCATATCTTGCATATAACCAATGCTCAATTAATATTTATAAACTGCATGGATGGATAAATGAATGGATGGAGGGGTGGAGGGATAGATGGGTTGATATGAAGGTCTCATGTAATTTATCTACTCAGTTGGCAAAGTTGTTAAAATCAATGAAGGTATATTTTTTAAAAAAGAGAGAGAGGCAGAAGCAGACAGTTGTCATTATACACATGATTGTTAAGGAAAAGCTGGCATTGCTTGCTCATGATTAAACAGCTGGACCTAACAAAATGAATATTTGTGTGTGTGTTTTTAATTACCAGCAAATGTTTGTACATTTTTGCAGGAAAAATTTGAAACTGAATTGAAATATGAAATGACAGTTCATGGGAAAATCGCAGTGCTTTACTTGAAAAAGTCCAAGTAAGTGTCTTTCTTTCTGATATAATCCTCACCAACAGCAGGTTAGAATGTGGGAAGTATGCTAATTGAGTCTGTTCCTACCTATGGCTCACATAAGCCTTGGCTAATCAGCTTTTGCTCTCAACTTGCCCAAGAGGTTCAACAAATATTTATTCCTACTGAAGTCATGAAAGCTTATTGGGTAAAACAACAGTTTACTAATATTTTGATACTTCTAGTAATAAAACAATAAATGAGGTGCAAGCAGACATACATTTTTTCAAATTTGATGAAATGGCTATAGATTTTTAACTCTTCCACTACATTATTTCATTTTATTATTCTAACATTGAAAGATTAGATTTCAAAACAATTTGCAACCATTTTCATTGGGGGAGAAAAAGGCATAAAAGTGAAATAAACTCTAGGGCCAAAGAACCAGTCGGTGGTAAAACCAAAGTTGGGCTGCTCTCCTGATGTCAACACCAATGCCCTTTCTACCCAGCTGTCCACTAACTTGTCCATTTCTCTCATGTTACATTAGGCTCTTAGTCTTTCATACTCTTCACCCAGTTCATCAAAATTCAACATTTCTTTTCAAGTTTCACTGCCTGAGCTCTAACCCAGATCTTGATTACCCTATATCTACTCTATTTCAAAAGTAGTTTTTCCTAATAATTTGTGCTTTCAAGCTCTTTCAGTCCCTCAATTATTCTATATAGGACAACAAGATAGACAAATAGACTACTACCTTTTGCAAAAAAATCACAACTGACTGGAGTTTGGAAATAGCGAGCTGTCATGGAAATAACACAGGCTTAGGATTAAGGTAGACCTAAACTTGGTTCTATGCCAGTTGAACTATTTAATCTCATCTGAAAAAACAGAGAATAATATTTACATTGTAGGATTGTTGTAAAGATTATGTTAAATGACTCAAGGAACGTGTCTAAGCCAGTGGCCAGTATTTAATACATAATAGTTCCTTCCTTTTCTCTTTGCCCCACGTCTTTTACAAATATATCCAAGCTCTTATTTTCTAGAGGGTAATTGAAAGAATTTCAGGAAACTCAGTGGAAATGCTAGAAGGGCCCTAACTACCAAATGCAGGTCGATTTTCAATAAGCTTTAACAGTCACTGGTAACAGAAAGGATTAGGTGGAAATGCAGTTACCTTAAGCTAGTGAGGAACATTGCTCTTTTCAGTCACTTTTTACCAACTTTCCCCTTCTCTGCTTCATTTCTTCCTCAAATCTCTCCTCAGACAAGTATGCCAAGTGTGATGACAAAGCAGACCTTGTTCCTTTCTACTCATGAGTGCCCCTGCCCCTTTCAGCCTCTCCACTTTAAGCATCTCTTTCATGCTTGGACTTGTCTTAAGGGGTTAGGAGGAGGAGCTCAGGAGTTAAAACTTGACTGCACACCCACTGAAAGCTTTCACTTTGATCACTGAACTTTGAAATGAGCATGAGGAATCATGACTTTTTTTTTTTTCCTTTGTCTCCAGAAATCTTGCACCAGGCTACACGGAAACACATTATAATTCCATGGGAAAGGAGGTCACCACCAGCCCACAGATCATGGTAAAAGGGAGTATCTTAGATTCACTGTTAATTGGGGTATGACCCCCACATCCAAATGCAGTGTCATCGACAAACGAACAGTGGAAGGACAGCACCACTGATAGCATTAGTGCTTTATTTAGTAGTAATTTCTTAATTGGTCCTCCATCATTCGAAGAGTTTAACAAAACAGTCATTTCTTGACAACCATGGAAACGCTTTCCAGCCCTCACGGGTTCCTTAGAGAGCCGGCAGAAAGAGATTCTTATTTTCATTTGAAGAGTTAAAAATTACATACCTCTGTTTTTTTTTGAGTGAATGCCAATCACCTCTCTAGATCATCTAGTCTCTCAATCTCAAGACTATTTCCTCAATGGTAGAATTATAAAATTCCATGTTTTCTTTAAATAATTTCCAATGTTTTATTCAGAGAAGATGACAGTGACATAACATAAGGGGTATTTTGTCTTTGACATCTTTTCAGGGGTCTGTTTTCTATTGGAAGGCCTTCACACACTCCCTTCTATGCAATTATGCAGCGGCACAGGGGTTTACGTGGGCCCATGCCTCATCTTTCCCAAAGTAGAAAGGTGTACTTGATAGAAGTACATACACATGAAAACGGGTTAGCATTGGGCATTTTGCTCCAAACGGAGGCAGGAGGTACTGTGCTAATCCAATTATTCTTGTGAAACTCTTTGGATAAATCAAGAGATAGCATAACTGGAATAACACATGCATTGGAATGAGCTCGTAGTTGTTAGGGGAAAAAAATGAATGAGCGATCAGTCAAGGAAAGGAATGGATGTCTGATGTTTTGGGAGCTCAGGTTTTAAACATACACCTGTAAGTTTGTCTCTTTCAGACTGTTCACCCTTTTTCTGCAACACCAACATTTACACCAATATTTAGTTAGCATTCTGTAAGCATTTGGGATCATTAACTAAATATTAAAGATTTTAGCCATGAAAAACTTTAAACATGTTTTTAATATCTCTAAGTCGACTGCTATTCAGCATAATTGATTTAAAAACATTTTAGATCCTATTTCAAGATTTCAAATTTGAATTTAGCAATGGATCTAAAAAACATACACGCTTTCCTTTATAAAACACCTTTTCTCTTTGCTTTAGGATGACTGTTATTACCAAGGACACATCATTAATGAAAAAGTTTCTGAAGCTAGCATCAGCACTTGCAGGGGGCTAAGGTAAGGCTTCATGAGTGGTTTGTATGTATCTTTGACAATGGGATGTGTATGCGTGTTTAATAAACCTAAAGAAATGGGGGACATCTGTAATAGTGTCAATAATAGATCAAAAATATATAATTAACTATATTATAGAGGGATATGAATTCTTTTTAAAAATTTATCTTTATTGTTGAAAGTTCTACAGATGTCCCCTTGTTACCCCTCCTTGACCCCCTCTCC